GTGGAATCATTAGTACAGGACTTTTCTCAGCCTCCTCAAATCAGTGGATAATTAAAAACCCGATCAACTGGATATGTTGATTTCATACATACCTCCTGCTGTTTACGAACATGTGGAATGTGAAACCTATGAAATAGCAATGGAAATACTCAGTAAGCTATGTGCGCTTAAAAAATGAGGTCTTCGTTCGTCATATCCTCGACACAGCCAAACAGGACAGTGGATAAGCTCCCGATCCGTTCGTTCAGAAGTTTAATTCTCTAGAAAGAGATTGCAGTCTCAGGTCGACTACCCCCGAGGAAAAGCGAGACTATGCTCTCCGAGATGCATTAATTAGTGGAATCCAATTAAACCAGATCAGACAAAGCCTACTGGAAAATAGCTCACTGAATTTTCAAAAAGCCTTCGATCAGGCGAGGGCCCTGGAAATGGCTGAGCAACAATCCATGTCTTATCACCACTTTCCCACCGCATCCCACGGCGGCTATACGCGCACCTTCATCCACTCCTCCCCCCCCCCCCCCCCCCCCCGCCAATAATCTTTGATAGTGTTCTAACGATAGTATCGTCGCCGTAGTCCGCCCCAAGTGTTTTTCTGTGGCCTCGACAAGCAACCTCGTTCGAAGTGCCGCGCAAGAGATAATCCTTGTAAAGGTGCTGGTAAAAACAGTCACTTCCAAAGAGTTTGTCCCTCAAAAAACCAACAGTCACTACACCTGCCGCTAGCCCATCCATATCGGCAACTATCACGGCTAACTCTCCAACGTGCATCTCAAAATCTGTCGTGGGTTTCGAGGTCAATGGAGTCCTTTGTTGTGCTCTGATCGACACCGGGAACTCAGCAAGCTATGTTTCAGAGAGCTTAGTACTCACCAATAAGATACTCCCGTTCAGAGAAACCATCACAATGGCCTCACGTTTCCTATCTAGCAGTACAAGGGGGAACTGCTCTATCTCCATCAAATACAAAAACCGTCTAGGAGCGTTTCAAACTATCTGCAGTGAGTGACCTATATTCGGATGTTCTCCTCGGACATGACCTTCTCAGCCTTCACAACAGCGTTCGTAAATCATTTGGCGGAGAGAAAGTTCCGTTTGCGGCCTGCTTCCATAGTGTCCCCGCCACTTTTTCAGAACCCGTCTATACATCGTAAGCTAGTCGCCACAAAATCCCGATGATGCAGCAGGGAAGATCAAACATTCATACGCGGGGAAATAAATCGACTCTTGTCCGACGATATTAATCTTTTTTTTATTACACACTTACGTGTAATGAACAGCAGACGGGTTAAACCCCATAGTAACGAGGACCTGCTGTTCAGTAATAAAAACCGGTAACCCAAGCCCCTTGAAGTGGTGAACCACATAAGGCCCCAATAGGTTGGGCATGGTATTGAACTAGACGACAGCAAAGCTGTCCCAGTAATACGTGCATGCTGAGTCAGAGGTAGTGCGTGAGCTAAGCGCGCCTCAACGTGATGGTGTCGATGAGCAGTAGGATCAGATTGAGCGAGCAATGCATTTCGCAGCGAGTGCTGCTTGTGGGTCTGAGCCTCAAGCAAATCGGAGGCATTGGATACCTCATGAGTCAGTATCCGTGATGGAGAAAAAACGACAAATCATGACCCACCAGTATCAAGAGGGTGAAGTGACGTCCACAACGTCGGCTGACGAAGAGCCTCAAGAAGGATTGTGAAATCCGGTGGGCAACAATAACAAGTTTAATGGAGTAGCGGCTACTTTAAGAAACAGTCAAAGACTGTTCCAACTGACAGGTAATACGGGAGGTCACAGAACTTCAGTTTGTGAAACAGTCTGCAAAATAGGAGACAAGCTATTCACAATAGGGATCAACGGCTTGATCGCTGGAGGAATACTTCAACGAAGAAGCCTCCAACTCGCCGTGGTGCGCTCAAGAGCTGGTTGTCAGTAATGAGAGCTACAGACGGAGAATGGTGGTGGAATACAACCCAACAATCAACAAGTTCAGCGGCTTGGACGCATATCCACTTCCCAGAATCGACGACATGATAGAGAACATAGCTAAATACAGCATTTTAGCACTCTAGGCCTCAAAACTGCATACTATCAAATTCGTATTCGGGAAGAAAATGCTTATTGCTCTTGAGGTATGTGGACGTTTATATCAGTTTCGTCGTATTCCCTTCGAAGTTACCAACGGTATTTCATATTTCCAGAGGGCTATTGATGAGATAATCTCTCTTGAGAATTTGAGACACGTTTGTCTACGTGGCTAACATTACTGTTTGTGCGAGAAGCGCAACTGAGCATGACCGTAACCTCAGGGATTTCCTGAAGGCTGCCAAAATATATGACTTGACTTTTAACGACGGTCAAAACATTGTGTGAAGGAAATCAAGCTGCTTGGTTTTCAGATAGCGAAAGGCAACCTCAAACCGGATCCTTATCGGTTGAAGCCGTTGCAAGAAATGCCCCCACCCACGAATTTGAAGTCACAACAAAGGATTGTGGGTTTCTTCTGTTACTACTCGCCATGGACTTCGAACTTTTCCGATAAAATCCATTTACTGATACATAACCAAATTGTTCAGATAACTCCGCATATAAAACAAAGCTTCGAAAGTCTCAAGCACTAACTAGCAACAGCGAGCCTGGCGACTATTCACTTCAACATCCCGCCTGTCATCGAAACTGACGCCTCGGATGTGGTAATTGCTGCTACGCTGAATTAGAGCGGACACCCTGTCGCGTTCGTTTCTAGAACATTAACTCAAGGGGAGACATCAGTCAGCAGTTGAGATAGAAGTGTACACCGCAGTCGAAGCCGTCCGGAAATGGAGTCGCATGCTACTTCGCAATCATTTCGAACTCATCACCGATCAGTGGTTTGTCTCCTTCATTTTCGGAAACAAGCACCGTGAAGGAGTTAAGGTGATAAAATCCTATGATGGAAAATGGAACTGCCCCCCCCCCAATAGCTTGGATGTTGTGTACAGACATGGAAAGCAGGAAACGGCCGCCGACGAACTTGGTCGATCTTGCTGTGGAGCTCCTCTTGCCGGAGTGAGTCTCAGCGAACCTCATGATTCCTTGTGCCAACCAAGGGTCTCTCATATGATGCATTTCGTAAAAGCTCGCAGTATGCCAGTCTCGATCGAATGTAACAACCAATTGCGGGATCTGGTCAGAGCTGAAACCTCGTTTCCAGCGCACCTTCGGATCTCATGTAATTAAAGTTACACAACCGTTCTAAAGACTCTCAATCGATTTCAAGGTTCCATTGCCCTATTCGACCCGGAATCACTACCTTTGATGGTTATTGACGAATACTCGAGGTTCCCTTTTGCTTTTGTGGATCTAACCAGTTGCACTGTTATCAGTTGTTCGTGCAAACTGTTCTCCATGTTCCGAATGCCTACTTACATACAAGCAAACAGAGGCACTTGCTTCGTATCGAAGGAAATACGACGCTTTCTCCTTGAGAAAGGTTTTGTCATGAGCAGAACGACTCTGTACAACCCTCGTGGAAACGGCCAAGTCAAACGACTAAACGCGACTCTCTGGAAAACCATATTGCTCGCCCTGAAATCCAAGAAACTCAAGGTCAAGAACTGGAAACAGGTGTTATTGGACGCATTCCACTCGATTCGTTCGTTGCTGTGCATGGCGACAAATAAAATACCACATGAGCGATTTCTCAGCCATAACAAATGTTCGACTTCCGGTACATCGCCACCTACTTGGATCATGACTCCTTTCGAAAAAGAATGTCAGGGCTTTCAAATACGATCATCTCGTAGAAGAAGTCGAACTTCTACAACGTAACCCATTTTATGCACA